CTTTCAATAACCCTATCAGTTGCAGGGAGATCACGAAATGAAACCCCATTAAGAAAAGAGAAAAATAGATTTTAAAAAAAGATACAAGGACAAACGGAATTTACTACAGAGTGCTATAGCTTGATAAGCCGTAAAATTTTCACAACGTATAGCGTGAAAGAATAAGCTGTCATTCTGTTAAATGGACAAAATTAAAAAAGTTAATCAAATATCAGAAGTCAGAGTTTATGAAGATTTAAGAATATGTGTGCTTTTATAGAGTAACGCAAATAATTAGCGAATAACTTGCATGCTACTTAAGTTTCAACTCCTTCTGTTAAACCTTAAAACGTGTTCAAATTTCCATGGGTTTAACGGTGCAAGGAACAATAGGTTTTTTACCAGTCATGGTGCTCGTATAATATTTTTTAAATTGAAATAGTTGTTTTGGAATTGAAAATTCCATGGAGACGAGGGCGAGAATCCGCCACCATTGCAGAAAGCATTGAACACTCTCTTTACCAAGAAATTTTCCGTTACGTTTTGAAAGTGAACGTATTCATGAAAAGGAATGCAAGAATTCCAAGAAAGTGGCAATATTTTCCCAACAGGAGTGGGGTGGGGAAAATGTCTTTCACTAATATCATTCGAATTTTTGCTTCCAATAATTACTGACACGGCTTAGAATAACTATGTTTATGCATTTGAATACCATAACAGTAGTTTTGCGTTATGAAATTATTGAAGATTGTGTTCGATGAATCTACATAAACTTGGTTGGCTATGCTTGATCAACTTTGGAAATTGTATTATTCAAGAATCATTATTTTGATTTGCCTCTTTGTCTCACACCTTGTTTCAAACCGTGCCCATGCAACCGTGCTTGTTTGTTGTCAAGCCCCTCCAGTCAGTCGCTTTCGCGTGATTAATGCTAATGTGACTAAATCTCCATCAGCAGTTATAACTTTATTGAAGAGCTTACGGTAACTAAAAAATCGAAGGCAAATGGTTTCGTAGCATATCGCCCTCGGCTTATCAATTGGACTATGCTTATGTCAACGATATCAGCGAAAAACAAAAACAGTAAAATATCGCAGGAAAACATCGATCACCTTCCCGTTCAAATACGCGTCTGTGGTTATTTCCTTCTATCACATCATCGAAACGAAACCGAAAATGTTAACCTCACTTTCATGAAAAATTACACAATCACCACTTCCGCCTTGGACACCTGCTTTTACAATTTTGTATAATTGTGAGCTTCATAGATCAGGTTCCAGAATACCAAGGGCCGTTCGAAACGGTAAAAGAAACTCAGCAGATACAAGATTCCTATTGCCGATACTGAGCTAAATTCTTCGACGCATGATGCCTTTAAATCACGATTCGAGGAGAGATTCCTTCCGTAACAAAGCAAAGATGATTCTCAACATGATAGATCACTTCAGTGGACGTTCTTCGGCTTGTTACGCGGTAGTTGCGACGCTAAAAATTGTCGTCTTATTGTTCGTGATTATTGTTGCAGTCGAGTGCGTATTTTATTTCCGATATTGCTTCTGGTTTTTGTGTGGACTATCGATTTCCCTTGCTCGTTTCACTTTTAAAATAACACTAAAAAGCGCAATGTTCGTCTTCTACTACGGCTTGAAAATCTTTATGGGATCGATGAAAGTTGTCATATATTGCCTTAAGTCCATTACGCTATTCGCTTTATATAGCGTGTTTACTGTTTTGCGTTTCCTAATTGCCTACCCTTCAGACTGGGCCTTAAATTTGAGGATTGATTTGAGAAGTTTTTTGCAACTGTGTTGTTTGTGTAGCTTTATGAAAATGGTCTTCCACTGGAACAAACATGGCGCAAGAAATTTTTGTGACAGGGTTTCTAGCGCCGTTAAAAAGGCCAGAGAGCACTTCGATTCTACGTTTACCGTCTGCAGTTACCACCTAAGAATCATTCAAGACAAACTGGATCGTTTGAGCAGACATTCGTCCACTGGTTACGTGGCAGCTGTGTTCATAAAGATTTGTGTCATGTTTGTGGTGGCGGCCATTGTTTACAAGTGCGTCTGGGTGACGATTGGAAATTTATTCATTATATGCACCTTCCTCTTCTGTTCAGCTGTGATGTTCATCTTTGAAGACATAAGGCAAATCCTGAAGAATCCAGTTGCTTTGTTCCAGAATAAACCGATTTCCTTCAGCAACATTTTTAAGGGATTGAGCGACGGTAGGATATACAACTGACTGCCAGTTGATTGTTTAGGAGTGACAGACCACCTGACCGCACTAACATCTTGACTGATTCATTCAATGACGGTATAAGCGACCAATCGACTTACTAACTGCATGACTGACCTACTAACTGGTGGACTTTGTGGGTAAGTGACTGGCAGACAAGCCACCAGTCGACTGAATGACTTAATGACTGGCTGGCTGATCCACTCATTGAGAGACTGAACGACTGACTAACACAATGAGAGATTGACTGAATACTTTTCCATTTGACAAGTGACTAACTGACTGAAACCTCGATGAGGATTCTTTAAAGAGCTTATTACCTTCATTTCTTTCAATTTTTGTTCAACTTTTTTTATTTCCTTCATTTTCCACATTCCCGTCGTTATTGTACGGTGCGATAGAGATTAGTTGCGGAGGGCATTGTCACTAGCTCAGGGGTTATCACACGGATCCCCAGATCAAGGGATTCTGGGATGAGTATCAAAAAAGTTCTAATTGCTAAATGTTATTTGATCTCTCTTTGAAATTATTACCCACGCAGAAGTTGTGACCTCTTTTCAAACCCTTTTCTTTGCAGCTGGTGGTGACTTTCCTTACTTTTGGCAGTTCAAAGAAGAAGATTCCTATTTGTGGAAGAACTTTGGCCCTTCTGACGATATGGCTTTGGAAAAGCTCTATTGTGACGTGAATAATCTGCAAGTTACATTGAACCTTACCGATACTGCGTTGAGGTAAGTCACTGAGGTTAGACAGGAAGGGCAAGAATAAGAATCTCACTGTTCATAATGAGATAACAGTTTTGAGTTGAGCTGTGGCGAATGCAAGAATTGCGATAACAGGAGTCCGCATGCATCATTTATCAGCATGCAACAATGATAATTGGTGAACGTTGATATTGAACGGCTTTGAAATGTTAGTATTTTACCATGAAAAAGTCAAAATTTTGAACAAAAATTCTTTCAGTCGGGTTCTAAACTCAATAAGGTTTGATCTTGTACTCTGATATTCCAGGTAAGAGTAGTTCCTGAGAGGGACTGTCCTTAGCAGCGACAAACGTTTCAACAACCTGAGCGCTTAAAGCGGTTCCTTGACTCTGATAATGTTCTTCCTAGAGTAGTTTGGTGAAGACTTCCACCAAGTTGTCCAAATTTTATTAGCTACAAATGACAACAGTCCTCTTTAGGATTACTCTGCATCGGATAATCAGAAGATACATACGAATTTTTCCTTAGGGGTCAAACCATTTATTTATAGGAGGTTCATCAAAGTAATGGAAAGATTATGCAAGTGTTCATTTCTAGAAACGTATTTCAACACCATGATGTTTGATAGAATATGACTTGAATTTATTTACTTGCGTGGAAATATTTCGGCTAAATCGCTCAGCCCTCATCAGTTTGTTGAAGTGTTAGTGGTTGTACAACTTTGAACTACGTAACCAGTTGCTCAAAGTGACGCCATACTGCTCAATGTTGTGAAATCACAGACTCTCCAACAGATTAAAGAGCCATTCAGCCGAAATATTCCAACGAGATTCAATAAGTTCCAGTTAGCTTTTCTTGTATCTCATGTCTTCGCTGCGTGAAAGTAGCAATTTTGTTTCTTTTTCAACACTGTTTCACCTCGAGGCCCAAGCAAATTATTTTTCATTATCTGTATCATAATTTGAAACAATCGCTCCATTGTCGTTGGAGTAATACCGTTATTTCTTCTTCTTTCTAGTGCTTCATCATCACAGGTGACAGTTCATTTCGAGGAGATGTCCATGCGCTCGCCCTCCTCTGCCCAGTTCTTGCTCCGTCGATGCTCAACACCATCTTATCTACAGGAGCCAAACAACAAGTCATCCACACAATGGGTTTGGTATTGGGAAGACAACGATGGTTGGAAGAAATACTCTGAAACGATGGTAAGTAACAGTCGAGCAAAATATCCTGTTATAGTATTATTCTAGTGGCTTTACCGTCACTTTGTTTCTCAGTTGGGCCAGGAGGGTTTTTCAGAACAAAATGCTTGTACTTAAAAATTGGCGAAAGTCTTTGATTGATAGGGTCTGATCGTGTGGTCTGATCTTCAAGTGGTCTCTGAAAAGGACTGTACATAAAACAACCATAGCACTGTGGCCACTGGCTTCTTGCTAATGGGATAAAAATTGGGATACTGGCTGGGCAACTGACCTCTTGATAAAGTGTGCTAATGCAATTAATAAGTCAATAAATAACGGGGTTAAATGACAGACGAACAACTGGCTCGTGAATACAACTTTGGACTCGCGATATTTATGCTTGTGGCATTAAGTTGTTTGCAAACTGAACCAGAGTCAAGACAGACCTAGAGTTCTTTATCTACTCTTTTAGCAGTCGTCTGGGACAAAGCAAGAACAGATAGAGGCTGCCTATTTAAAAGGAGAAAGCTTCTATCCCTTTCGAAGTGGTTCTCACAATTACATTCTAACATTCTACGAAATGCCTATGCACCAAATAAATATCGACCCAAAGCTCCAGACCAGGCGGTTCGTAAGAAGAAGACCTGTGTTTGTTTCAAAACCAGCTTATCGCGCCACAAAGAGGTAAGTGAACGTGGATTGTGCTGTTGCTATTATCACTTACTAATACATATGCAATTAGAGATGGAGGGACTCACTTGGCTCAATTAACTTGAAGCGTTGCAGTCATGATTGTAATCTGATGTGAGGGTTTTGGGACTCGTTGTGTGGTGAGGTCATCACCATCAGGTAATGAGCCTGCATACCAGTTAAACAGCACGATTTGATGTTTCCTAAAGGAATACACCTGCGTCCTCTCGTCTCAATCTTAAGCGTATGGCCTTTCGTGTTCCTTTAATATGTTCCGTTTTTATTACATTTTTAGTTATCTGAGAGGCAAGGCTAAAGATTTTGAACGGACTCGTTTAAAAGAGAACTGCGAAAAATACCGAACTGCGAGTCAACGTTTTCACGAAACATTACAAGAAGACCAGGCCTACATTGTGATGGTGGAAGAAATTTGGAACGAAGAGTTACATGAGAGATACGAAAGGTGAACTTATAAAACGGTTAATACTGTATATAGAGAGGGATAAGTATGTGCAGAACTTACAAAGGACGACTGCACATCATATATCTGAAGCTGACTTCACAATGATTTAGTTTTTTGTCATGTTTTAATTAGATCTAAGTGAAGTCTGGTCCCTTAAAATCGGAGCTTTACAAAAACTCAAAAAAAAAAAGAAGAAAATGGAAAAAAAGCTTAAGGGTGGAAAATAATTTTTTTTTAAATAAGTGACGTCAAAAAGCCGTGTGATCTTTTTCACACTGCCCTGCAAAGCATTCTTCATAATGTATACCTTGGACCGCGGAAGGGCTTTTTGAACATTTCACTCTTTTAATGATTACAAGTAAAATTGCCGCAAAACGAAAGCACATTGATTGCATGCACAGATTTCTTGTTTTAGATTTCGGAGCCAAGGCTCAGTTTTCTAATTTTCCTAATTATTTTATACGGGGCTCAAGAAATTAAACAGACCACTTTTATCTGTTGCGGATGATGATCCAGTATAAGACAGCGAACGATGAAGATGACCTTATGTAATTATAGTTTTCTCAAATGAGTATATGATCTGTGCTGTTTGAGCACACGCTTAGGAATTAAATAGCCCCTCAACCATTTCCATTGTAAACGTTCATTGATTAACCCTGCTTTAATCATTTGTTCATCTAGTAAGCGGAAAAGAATCAAAAGGAAACTGAAAGCAAAAAGGGACGATCAGATAGAAAAATTGCTATTCCATGGTACTTCATCAGATGTCGTTGATGCCATCTGCAAGCAGAACTTTGATCACAGATTGCGAGGAAAGAATGGGACATGGTATGGAGAGGGGAGCTATTTTGCTGTAGACGCTTCCTACAGTAATCGCTACAGCGATCCAGGTGGAGATAAGACGAGATTCATGTTCTTAGTAAGAGTTTTGACGGGGGAATCTAAGCTTGGAATGGAAGGTTTTCGTCGACCACCTCTGAAAGATCCAAGCGATCCTGCCAGCGATTTGTACGATTCATGCGTCGACGACGAAAATCAACCAAAGATCTTTGTTATATTTAATGACGAACAATGCTATCCTTCTTATCTAATTCAGTATCAGCTGCTATAGGTTTTGGTAACAAAGTCAAAACATTAGAGCTTCATTACTACACATCTTATTTAGAAGCAGTACAAGAGCTTCATTATTACACATCTTATTGAGAAGCACTATAAGAGCTTTATTACTACACATCTTATTTAGAAGCATTACAAGAGCTTCATTATTACACATCTTATTGAGAGGCATTATAAAAGCTTCATTACCACACATCTTATTTAGAAGCATTACAAGAGCTTCACTATTACACATCTTATTTAGAAGCATTACAAGAACTTCATTTCTGCACATGTTATTTGGAAGCATTATTGGAGCGTCATTACTGCATATCTTATTTAGAAGCAGTACAAGAGCTTCATTACTACACATCTTATTTAGAAGCATAATAAGAGCTTCATTTCTGCACATGTTATTTAGAAGCATTATAAGAGCTTCATTGCTGCACATGTTATTTAGAAGTATTATAAGAGCTTCATTTCTGCACATGTTATTTAGAAGCATTATAAGAGCTTCATTACCACACATCTTATTTAGAAGCATTACAAGAGCTTCTCTATTACACATCTTATTTACAAGCATTATAAGAGCTTCATTTCTGCACATGTTATTTAGAAGTATTATAAGAGTTTCATTTCTGCACATGTTATTTAGAAGCATTATAAGAGCTTCATTACCACACATCTTATTTAGAAGCATTACAAGAGCTTCACTATTACACATCTTATTTACAAGCATTATAAGAGCTTCATTTCTGCGCATGTTATTTAGAAGTATTATAAGAGCTTCATTTCTGCACATGTTATTTAGAAGTATTATAAGATCGTCATTTCTGCACGTTATTTAGAAGTATTATAAGAGCTTCATTACTACACATGTTATTTAGAAGTATTATAAGAGCTTCATTACTACACATGTTATTTAGAAGTATTATAAGAGCTTTATTACTATACATCTTATTTAGAAGTATTATAAGAGCTTCATTTCTGCACATGTTATTTAGAAGTATTATAAGAGCTTCATTACTACACATGTTATTTAGAAGTATTATAAGAGCTTCATTACTACACATGTTATTTAGAAGTATTATAAGAGCTTCATTTCTGCACATGTTATTTAGAAGTATTATAAGAGCTTCATTACTATACATCTTATTTAGAAGTATTATAAGAGCTTCATTACTATACATCTTATTTAGAAGTATTATAAGAGCTTCATTTCTGCACATGTTATTTAGAAGTTTTATAAGAGCTTCATTACTATACATCTTATTTAGAAGTATTATAAGAGCTTCATTTCTGCACATGTTATTTAGAAGTATTATAAGAGCTTCACTATTACACATCTTATTGAGAAGCATTATAAGAGCTTCATTACTTTAGTGTTGGGAATATGAATGGGAATAACATATTGATACAAACTATTCAGTTAAAAAACATATTTTAAGCAGTTGATAAGTTCTTATTTCAATGATGTTTTACTGTGTAAGTAGAGTATCTGTTACCTTTTCTTTCTGAGAGAAACTAGCCATTTAAGTCCACAAAAGCTTGTGCTAAGCTGTTTGTGATTGACGCATATTAGCCAATCGCGAGTTCGACATGAAAGTGGATGTACAATTCTACGGTGATTAAAACTCGGCGTGAGGTATTTCAATTATCTTGTGATAAGATATACTTTAATCAAGATAATTTGGTTGATGAACAAGAGAGTAATTTTATATGGAAAAAGTTAATCTCGTACCGGAATTCCTGGAAATTGCTACTTCTTATACTTTTGGTTCTTTTCAGGCGTGTTTTTTAGGCCAATTTCATGTCGATTCCTCGATCAAGAAAGTAAGTCTTAATTATTAATTTAGCACGTACAACACCTCTTTCTATAAGGAGATTAATGTAATTGTACCTTTCATCTTACGTACTAAATTTATAATCAGTTGACTTACATGAACGGCAAACAGTTCTCTTAGAGGGGTACTTAAGGTACGCCCTTTCTCCCTCTAATTCACCGTTTATTCTGTTGTTAGGCAACAAGCTTCTAGAGTTTTTTTCTCAGTTCGTTATCTTTTCAATTGAAATTCTAATCTACGCAACGGTTTCTTTATAATTTTATATTATCAATCTTGTTTTCGTTTTGGCCGATCTTAACTGGAAAAGTATGAAATTTAGGTAGAAAGTCGTTTTAGAAAGAGTAAACAAACCGAAGGTACATACTTAGTATGCGGGAACTGTTAAATGTAACTCAACGTGATTCGTTAGTACAGTGAGAAATAGTGACGTTGGTCAAATATTGACAGCTTGCTACTTGCCACCTCTATAAGCTGGAAACCGACACTTTCCTGTAGATGATGTGTTACACCCCGAGCTAACAAGTTATTTGAGCCATCAAGAGAAGCAACAAAGCGAGTTTCAACTGTACAAGACTGTTAGAAATTTCCTCCAACAAAAGTACAGCGATCAGTGGAACGAGTCAGTTACTGTCTGGATATTGATCCTCGCGCATGTCAAAAGATCTACAACACACGTGCTGAAATTCTTCAGCATAATGTTATTTTGGACTGACCATTGTCATAATTTCCTATGAATAAATTGACAGAATGTTTTCATTCCTTAAAAGAAAAATAAATTCATTCCTTAAAAGAAAAATACATACTTAAGAGTACTAAGTAGATTAAAGGCTCTAAATAAGGTTTTCAGTCAATAAGCTGGGCGGCGTTGTTATAGGAATGTTTGCTCTGTTATCATTGCGATCAAATATAATTTTGCCGGAAGTTTAGTAATTGTTGTTGATGGTAATATCTCACTGTCAATATTACGCTGATTCGATGTTTTATATACCTGCAGAATGGATGTCGTAAGTTAAGGTCCAAAATTATGCAGAAAATTCAAATTACTATTTGCAGGTGTATATTTGCTTGCAGATATGATAACCCGCAGTGCGCTGCTATGCATTGTGTACCGTTCTTCATTACCAGGTCAAGTGCCTCAGCTCTGTCTGAGAAAACAAATAATGAGTAATTCTAAGAGACGGCTGAAATCGGCTAACATGTGAAAACACTTTTTGCTCCCTTCCCCCAAAGATTAAAACGAAAATACTCTGTATGTGTGTTTTCGCTGCACTGGAGCGAAAACAAGTTATTGGCCGAGGTTATACATTCAATTTTTACTTCTTTCATATCATGATGTAAAGGTGGTTTTCCCCGTGACTTTTGCGTTACATCAATGTCTCAGTGTTCATGCGATCGGCCGGAGGCAGTCATATGAATATCACATGACGAGTGTCACTTATCTGAATGATTTTACCCATTGGTTACTTTCAGACAGTGACCTCGCTCTAAACCAGTGACTTCGCTCTAAACAATGATACGCTGTAAATCCAACTACCACAACGCACACGGAATCGATTCTCGGAAAGCATATCAACAAAGTACGAACTCAGTTGCTTTAATCTACACATATTTCCCACAGATTCTTGCTGCACGCCATTAAGTGAGGTAAATCATTGTTACCTTTTTTTGGTAAGAAATATTAGCCCGTAAACGGGTCGATTTTCTCAATCGATCCGTCTCATTCTCCATTTGTTTGATTCAGTGTTGTACGAAAGTGGCGTCAGAAACGATCCCATGTTGTTTCCAAGGCATGGGGTTTTGAATCGTTTGAAACCGCATTTGAAAACTTATCAAATAAGTTACCAAACAAAATAGTGGAGAAGGTTAAAAAAAGGGGAAAACAAACAGATTAAAAAATAAAGCGAAAATTAACAGGAAAAATACAAGATGAAATATTATCCTCACTAATGCATATGATGTCAAGTATTTTCTTCAGACTGACTGTCACCTAATACCTTAATTCAATTTGCGCCCTTACACTTTTTAAACTGAAAAAAATGATATTAATAATAACAATTAAAAAAAGAAGAAGGGAAGGCAATTATCAACGTTATGTAGTAATCCATGAATCCGCGAAATCTGGCTGCCACAGTAAAACCATTGATATTGAATCTGTACGCATTTGCTGTTTCATTTTTTTTCTTTTTAACTAACTTTTCTACTTAGTACATTTTTGTCGCAATGACATCAATACAGAAGGGATTTCTCGGAATCCGTTCAAGAAGGGAACGTTTGTTCGCGCAATTTTTGATTCGTTAGACCTTTATTCATTCGTTTGTTTGTTTACTTATCATTATCTGAAAGCTTGTAGAAAAACAATTATGATGTAAAACTGCCAACATTGAAAACTTTGGGTTACAGCCTGTTCAAAAGGGTTTAATTACCCTGTTTCCTGCTGTGGTTGCATTAAATTGTTTTCTTCGTTGCTCAAAGTTCAGACGCGCTGAGAAGTTTGCTGCCCTAAATTTACCTATTTTTATTTTTATTTATTTATTTTCTTCTTTTTTTGGCACGCAAAGGTTATAGCGGCAAATTATGCTTTGAAAGCTTGCCTGTATATTCTTCTGTAAACAACATGAATGCAATCACTGCCTGCAGTTTGTCAGGTTTTAAAATTTCTTAAAGTTTAGATTTTCCCCATTCCTCTGTGTAAATTTTCGCCTCTGAATATATATTTTTTAATATATCATATTTTAATACCCTAAAACAAACACTTTACTTTAATTGTATTTTTTTTTACTACTGGCTGTTCTCATAACTACTTCCTTTGTTAAAGTTATACTGTCTTTATGTAGCTTTTAGAATTTTGGAGACTGCGAAGTACACCAGATCTAACGTCAGTTGATTAAAAGATGCCAGCAAGTATGTCAAAATGGTGATATTTGGAAGTATATTGTTTTTCTGTTGTTGTTGCTTTGTTTTGTTGCTGTTTTTTTTTCTTTGAATTAGCTATCACTTTTTAAAATAATAAGTCTACATGTGATAGGCAGAATTTATCATTGTGGTTTTAGAATTTTGCCAGAGTAGACATGTAGGATCTTTGCAATGTTAAAGTCGCTCAGTCATCTAAGAAATCTAAAAGTTGGAAGGATAGAAGGTCGTTAAAATCTTCATGCCCCCCATCTGTATAAGATTTTTTCTTCGCCTACCTTTACCTCATAGGATTCATTGGACACTTGCCAAATCATGTCTCCCACTCCTTCCTCCCCAACCTTTCAAAAACCCGACATTACAACATTTATTTTTTAATAAAAGAAATAACAACCAGAGACATCGTTTGTTTTTGAGAATACATAGGCCATTTCTATTACTCTTTTTAAGCTCTGAACTGTGAAACTGGTACAAAAAGTTATAACATTACATTTCAGCATTCGCTTTAGCGACTATGGCAGCTACCGTGGCTGTGGGGTTAATAAGTGTTGTACTCAAAGCCGCGTGGGGTGATGGTGAGTAAAATCTTTTAAATATATTTTGGGAAACATAAGCAGTAGATGTGTGGAGGTACTGAAGGCCGCTGTGTAGTAAGTACTGCAGCTCTTGGCTAACAAATGTTAAACTTCCTCCTTGACATTGAATCGTAAACTAAATGTTTTTCTTCTTTGATATAAATTTTTACAAAACGGGTCGAGAATAAATCGAGTCAAGTAGTAAGGATTAAAATTATTTCCTTACAGGTGTGGATAAATACAAATACCAGCTACTAGTTGATTCTGACCGTTTGACACCGAGAAGGTCATGAAGATTTTAATGGAATAAGTACTGATCGAATATCGGCGAATCATTGTAGCATCTCAATTGTCTTTGTTTGTTTGTGCATCTAGAGTCCAATGGAGACTTTCTGCTCTTTCATGACCGTGTACTCGGAGTTAATTATGATTAAGTTGATAAGTTAGTGAACTGCACGAGAAATTATTTATTCCTTTCTTTCAGAAGAGCCGGCGAAAAAAGGAGGAAGTGAAAGTCACAAACAAAGCGCTGCAGGTATATAAAGTTGATCGTACGAGAATATTTTCAAAAGTATGGTGGTGCCTTTTATCGAATTATGGTACAGGTTTCTGTGTAACCATACCTCTTCTCCTGGAAATGAGAAAAATAATTGAATGTATTTTTCCCCAGGGAGTGGAGGGACGAGGTCACAACAGAGAGAAAATGGAAGTCTGAATCGTAGGGAAGAAGGTATTGTTGTTATGCCTTTCCGAAGTAGATTTGAACTATCAGCGATATGCAAGAAAAGGGGCCTACGGATAAGAGGTCTTCTCAGAGAGAACTAAAATGTCCAACCATCCGCAGTTTCTGCTCAAAGGCAGCACGCTCTCCTCAGTTATATGACGAAGCTGAGTGTTGGTCTGACTAGGACTTGTGTCCTTGACGGTCTTCATAGTAGTCTGACGCTTTACAAATTGATCGAACCAGATGGAAGTTAACAGTAGAACACAGTTACAACGAATTCAGGGGAATTATGGTAACTGTCTCTAGGAATCGTTTTAGAGTTCAAGACAGTGTTAAAAAGTTTGCATACGAATGTTCTTTCGGAATCATCAGAACAACTTGCATTTCAAACTATTCCCAAATAACTACGGGAAGAGTTTCCAAAACCCAAAGAACACTTACACATGAATTTTTCCCTTTTACACTGGTGTGAGCCCATCGTTTACTTTCTTATGGTCTGTAAGTTGATTCGTTAAGACTTAAACCGGTGACAACTCATCCCTTAACGTTGCACCTCAGAGAAATTTCTTTATTCCATTCAGGTAGTGTCAGCCAACTAAGTACAGAAATACAAGCATTAGAATGTGGAAGTAATTATTTGGCGGTTGTCTTTCAGTAAATCAATAGTGCCTATGCCTAGCACTTTACTAGAACTTTGATCTGCAAAATCATTTTTACAGGTGTTAGAAAAACCAGAACACGAGAAGACGAAGAGAGAGCCAGGAAAAGAAGAGGAGAATGTAATGTACACTGTAAAAAATGGGCCTAAGTATTACACTTAATTCAACTGAACTATTATGGTAATAGTTCCTGCGTCGTAAACATAGGATTGCTTAATTTGTTGTTCCCTTTTAAGCTAAAGCATCGCTTCATATGAAGTCACAAATACTGAGGAATAACAGTTCCTGTTCTTAATTTTCAAATCCCTTGAAATGAAGTAACATTTTCATATTACCCTTCACCAAGTGCAGCCTTATCCCTTCTTGGCGATAGCAAGTCTACACCATACCTCTGGCAGTTCAAAGAAGCAGATTCTCATGCTTGGAAAAATTTCGGCCCCTCTGACAATGTTGTCCTGGAAGAGCTTTATTGCAACGTGAACAATGTGGAGGTTGAAATAGAACTTGAAGACACCACAATAAGGTGAATATGTATTTATTCTTAAACAATAGGGGAAACGTAGCTCATCAAAGGTACAATTTTTAATATTTTTGGCCAGAAACTTTGGTAACCTTAAGATTACAGAGAACATCCAACTTGAAAATGATATATACAGAGACCATAGATCACCGAAATGTTCGGCCGTTTGATTTGTTTTCTTGAGGGTATAGAGCGGGTTCATTTAGAGAAGAATACTGGCAAAATGAATGTCACAGATGCTCCACAGAAGCCAGTCAATTTCTCGCCAAAACTTTATTTCTGTAAAACACTACAGTAACTTCCCGTACGTTTTATTGCCTCTCTTATCTCGTGCAATACTTTAACATGTGTCAAGGCCTCAGTTAGTTATCATCATTCGGCGGCATGATTGTCTTAGCGACGCAGAATGAGACGAGGGGAAACGGAAAAAGATTGGAAACAGTTGCACTGAAGTACCGCAGTCTGCGAGTAGACTCACACTGGTGCGGCAAGAGAGTAAAGGAGGGAAACGAGAGGTCTGGCACTAATGTTTTTGCCAGAAAAAAGGCGGATCTCTGGCAAGTTCACATTGCTTATCCGCTAAAATGCGCGGGCCTCACCACTCACGATGCAGCGCCGATTTGAGCCTGCAAGCAGACCAATAGCACTGCAGCTCACTAACAAAACGTTTGGAACAGGCTAACACATTGTCACTCTTTTTCGTTTCTTTCAGACATTCAAGAAAGCTGTCAGGAAAGATGTCAGCCAATTTTCACACAATGTCCATGAGCTTGTTCTCCCCCTTTAACCACTTTTTGATCCGTCGACGTTCAACACCGTCTTACATCAAAGAACGCGGCAACAATTTTCCTACACTGTGGGTTTGGTATTGGGAAGACATCGATGGATGGAAAAAATATGCCGAAACGAATGTAAGTAGGAGGGTCTTAATGGGGTGATGGCTTTTACGGCTAACGGTTAAAATTTTGACCAATGTACGGCTAACGGTTAACATTTTTCCATTGTCTCCATCAGACATATTTTTTACGGTTAATTTTCTTTACGACCAACGGTTAAATTTTGTCAATTTTTACGCCCAACGGCTAAATTTTTGGCCGTTTTACGGCTAACGGTTAACTCCATTGAGAACCTCAAGTAGCGGTAACTGTTACGCAAAGAAATGGTCAAGCGATGGCCCGGCCGGGTATACTTCTTTCGTAATTTGCTTTAATTGTATATTTTGTA